ATTGAAACAAAAAAAATATGTTTGAGGAAGATTAAATATACCCGTATGGGATTATAGTTTATTTTAAAAAAAAAATAATAAAAACTTAAACTAATTTTTTTTTTCATTTCCGTTAGAGGGAAAGGGTATATGTGAGCCATTTGTATATAAGTAGGGGTATATATGAGCCACTTTTCATAACGAGGGGTATATCAGCTCTAAATGACAAAGTTGAGGGGTATATTAGACCCTTTTCCCTTGAATATAAGACTTGAATAGTAAGCACTATTTATATTATATATGATAGAATGTTTTATGGCTTGAACAATTAATTAGTTTCTTGATTTCATTTAACAAAATACTTTAAGTAATTATGTATTGCTAACTAAAGTTTTTAGTCAGAAGTGTTCTTTAGTTTACTAGTTTATTTTTTAGATATTATTTACTTAAGAGATTATTATTTTTTTCTTTAAATATTTATTGCTAGTTTTTTTTTAGAATTATTGAAACAATGTTACTGTTTGTGACATTGATTTGACATAAAAAAAAGAGGGTCGGCCCGCCCCAGCTCTTGACCCTTCTGGGGTTGGGCCGGGTTGACCATTTTACAACCCTTTGAAATGAAGGGCCGGCCCGCCCTAGTCCATCAAATTCTTTGACCTGCGAGGCTTGGGCGGGGTAGGGCTGAGCTGACCCGTTTTGACAGCTCTAATTAATACTAAGGGTAATAAAGAGAAAAATATAGTAATAAATTTCTCTTTGATTTTTCATAAATTAGACAAATAAATGGAAATAACTATTTTTATTATGGGGGTCAAGTAATATGAAACGGATAAAAAATGCACATTACCATATTTATGTAGATAAGCTATTTTCGAACGTATGCCATATATGTTTATAATTTGAGTTTCTGAATTAGATTTATGGAGAAGAAAATGGTCTATGAGTTTAGATTGTGTGCATCGATCGATCGATAATATATGTTAATTTGGAAATCATGGCACTACAGTGAAAAGGGAGAGCTGGGACCAGTTGTATCAAAAAGAATCGATGAAATCACAGCTGAGTTACAAACAAGCAGCAAACCGTTCGACCCGGTTCACAGGATCAAGTGTGGCTTTAATTATTTCAAAACAGAGATATATGAGTAAGGTTTTCTTTTTTCATATTTATAAATCATAATAATTTTGTCCTTTCTCTCTTTTTTTTTTTTTTTTTTTTATAAAAATAATCAGAAAAAGTGATACACACAAGTAGGGGTGTTCATGGTTTGGATAAAAATCGATCCAAACCAAAAAATTAAACCAAACCGATTAAATGAACCGATTTAATTTGGGTTTTGGTTTGGTTTGGTTTTAGATTGTTAGGAATCGATAATATTTGGTTTGGTTATGGTTTTGTTCGGAAAAAATCGAAGAAATAACCGAACCGAACCAACAAGTTATATACATATATTCATAAACAATTTTAAAGATTTTATATATGTTTCATCAAAATTTATTTATAATTTACTTATGAAAGAAAAAATGTCCAAGGTGAGAACATTTTTCTTATTGGTTTCATGTATATGAGTGTCTATGAAAATTCTTTGTGGGACGGAAAATGTCATTGTCTCTTT